TAAATGATTCCCCGAAGTCAGTGACACCTATTTTCTGAGGTATTTTTCCCACACAGTTCCCTTACTAGTCTTCACCATGGCCTCGCCACGATAGATATTCTTAATTCTGTTATTTTTTCTCATCAAATTACTTCCGTTAATTGGTATTGCCATCCACTTTCACTGAAGTCGCAGCCAAAACTGGCTTTGCAGACAGGGCTCACCATCAGGGTAGGTCGTACCTTTCGGGTCCACGGCAAAGGGGTTCGTATTTGGCCGCCGAAGGGGGGGGGGGGGTCGTACACGGTCTTCAGAGAGCGGAAGATCGTATTTACCTTGGCAAAAAAGTTCTGTTTGTCGGCTTTCTCGATTTTCCTGTTTCAAATGCGGGTAGGGGATCGTACCAGAGGATAAAATCCTTAGGGGAGAGGGAGGGGGAGAGGGTGATATGTTGTGAAAATTTTCCCAAACGCCATGACGATCCCTGTCCACCGAGCATTGTGTAGAACCCACTGAGAAATCCTGTTTCGCCGCTGAAGTAAGATGGGGAGGAAGCCGCGTCTTATAATGACGAAGACTTTACACGGTTCTTGATTTTCATCATCACATGCGCTATAACCCTTCTGAGTGAGCGCCAAAGAACAATCAGTTCGGATAGTCGATCGGAGGAGTCTACCCTTCCCTCCCGCCCCACCACGGTCGACAGCAAAGGTCTGGGGTTTCGCTAGAAGGGGCAGGTAGAATGGGAAAGTGTTTGCACCGAAGGAAGAATTTCAGGGGAGACGTTTCGAAAAGATTCCCGTTTTTACTTTCCACTTCCCCACAACGTATGCAAGGAGTCCAACAGTGAAAATGTTAGAATTCACGGCGCTATTCCTATTCGTTTTTCGTTAGCTCTTGCTGAACTACGCGTCACACATTGGTGAGACCTGTAGAATCTTGTCAAGTGTAAGCGAAGCTCATGCTACTGCATGGCTTTACGTAATTCACAGGCCTTGAAAGGGAACACGGCAGTGGTCGGGCGAACCAGCGAAAACCCCCCATCCAGCTGAACTGCGCTCAATCCTTTATCCATATTAGAAGTTGGAAGAACGATCCCCTCTGACACACGATGTGAAAAATTGATCGGTAAAGGAGAAGGTCCGCAGAGCAACCTTGTGTCAGTTCTATGGCGAATAGTTGTCAGGCAAAGGAGTTAAGGCGCAAAATCCCTCTAGTGACTCTGCCTCCGAGACTCAACTTCGAAGACCGCCCTAGAGCGAACGTTTACCAGACGAGTAGCATGAAAGGGACTCCACTGTCGCTTACGGGGTGAATGGGACCAGCTTAATAGATTCGCACAATTGCCTGAAAGAAAAGTTCTACCAAAAGCGTCTCCGACGTTTCCTCTTGCATTAACTCTTCATTTACATCTCTTTCGGCAACTTCTCTTCATTTCAACACCTACGCTTCGTCTCGTGGGCCGCGCCCTTGATGAAGTGCTATCTGTTGAGAAGCTAAAATGAGCTAGTTCGGCTTGGGGGGGGAAGCAAGTCGCCAGCTACCTTCTATCCAAAAACCGAGCCATCAAGTGAGGACCTATAAATTGTGTGAAGCCGCGAAAGAAATAGTCGGAGTTCGTAGATACCACCCTGCCAACTTGTAAAAAATACCTTCCAACTCTTGTAAAGCAATGAACATGTTGATGGAAAGCAGCATAAGTGCAAAATGCCCTCCCACTAAGTCACAGTGCGTCAAAAAAGTGTCAACCAAACTCTCGCGCAAAGCAGGATATAAGGCCAGCTGCACAGGATGTGGACCGTGCCTGGCATGGCCTCGGGCCAAGATCTCCACCCATTTTTTCCTTTCTAGCGCATGTATGCCTATGCTCGCTTCTCGTTTCCTTCGAATTTTCGAAAGCGTACCTCTGTAGACACGGCACGCATTTCTGAGGGAAAACTCTTTTTAGAACAAGAAGATCAGCATTTAGGATGACCGTGTCGGTATGGGTGTGGCTCCGTGGCGAGTTTCTTCTCGAATCGTTTCTGGCACTAGATTTTTCGACCAAAGCGACCTCGTCATCACCAACACCTCACGATGAGGATACGCCAGGTCGAACGACTGCAATCGACGGTGCACATGCGCTCATCGATGAATGTCAGGCGAGAAATTGGGAACGCTTGAGGTGAGCTCCCTGAAAACTCCCGGGTCTCTTGAGAGAGCTAGGTCATTTTGCTGGGCCAGGTCCAGTTTTCGAATTCTTCCCATAACTTGGATTTATATTACTCAACCATTTGCTTTGGACTTTCAGCGTTTTGGAATGGTCCAACATCGTTGACGAGATAGGGCTGGACAATATGCTCAGTGAGGCCGTCTACCGAAACGCTTCTGGAGATGAAGTTTGTTTTCAAGAATTATAGAATATCTATTCTAATTCAGAACAGGAGAAACACCCAGGAAGCAGCCCTATTTGAATTTACGGCTCCATTTTTTTCAATTTGCGCTAAGTTCCCACTGACTTTTTGGCGCAGATCAGCTTAGACGGGCACCAGAGGGGACTCAGCCAAGACTGCACAGGCCATCATGTGGAGAACGGAAAATTCTCAATGTAGGAGCATCCAGTCCATTATATTTCTACCTAGTTGTTGGCCTGATAAACCGTACCATTTGGAAGTGCCAAACCAACCAGGTCCTGGTGCAACAGCCACCAAGCGCGGCATCATTGAACTGCCCCCTCAACATGGACCACTCACTTCCTTCCGCACCCTTGCCAGCATGAGTTGTTCAAGACAACCTTCATTCTTAATTAACTGTTTAGGCAATTGCCACGCTATCCGGTCTCGCCTTACATATGCTTCTCGTTGGTCTGGAATACTTCTCTTATGAAGCTGATGAGTGAGTTTTTATTATGACCTGTGCTACAACAGCGCCGCAAGAAGATTGTGACCATTACTTGAATTTCTCCCTGACTAGAGGATGAATGATCTCTCTGATCATTCATCCTCTATGTCCCTGAAAAGGAGACTGTATCCCGCTTTTCACCGCTGCGCCAATACGCTACCAATAGACGACCGTTTCAGGGCAATAACTATCCGAGGCGATGTGGTAACAGCAATGGTTCACCAACAAATGGGTAAGTTTTCTCAAGACCCTTCTGAGGAAAAAACTGAGGCTCGAGGTGAACTGTCTGAATGTTCCAGATCAGTTTATTGCGGTACATTATGTCGTTGTTTGCTCGGGCTGTATCTCGCCGGAGGCTCTGCCAGAATGTACCGTTTCCGCTTTTCAAAAACAGATGAGATAGGTGTCTAGTCATGGTTTCGCGTCACCATATCCAGGCCTAAAACTAAATATCTATGCTCTCTACTATTCGTTTCAGCTTGTTCACTGTCACTGCGACTGTTCTTTTCGGAAGCACTGGTGCGAGGACGGTCGAGGATGGTGAGCACCGCGATGAGATCGTGAAAGCCTCAGATATCCTCCAGAAACTTTGGTTTGAAGACAATGAGGTAAACACCTTGCAAATGTGATAAAATTAAAAGTCTAAGGTTCGGCAAGATGAATACGAACCCATCCCGCATTGTGCTCTTCACGCACAGTTTTCGCCGCGATGTTCTGGCTTGAAGGGGCATTTGCAATTTCGGCTCGGTCTTTCGTCACAATTCCAAACTGTGAACATCAGTGGTTGGCGATATCGTTCGAGCTTAGGGATTTCGGCTGGGCACAATTTGGGCCCCTAAAGCGCGTATGCGCCAGAATTTTCAGTTTGGCAAAACACACTGCAGCAACAATGGGCATGGACATGGACTTCACTGCGGTGTTCGGGTCTACAAACATTCCCTCACGTGGCCTTTCACTTGGAATTATTTTTACCAGGATTCAATAGGAGTAGCGAAAAGAAGGGAAAAGGATGGAACATATATAAGTTTTCGGCCTATTCTCTAGGATACCGTTGAATGCTGTCTTTTACGTTCACTCGCTTTCAAGATGTTTGAGATGTGCGAATCAGCGACTGTAGGAGGGGAAATGCGGAGCACGTGGTAGGAGATATATACAAGGGCAGGGTACCAGCTTCGATGTGTGTGGAAAATCTGCGGGCGGGGTCGTTACTTGTCCTTGGCGCAGGGGGGTTGTCTTGTCGGTCGCTGGTTGGGAGAGGGAGGTCGTGTCGGTCTTTGATTATAAATTTGGCGCTTCGTTGTTGACTTAACGCTTTTCCTGTTTGATTGTGTACTGGCTTACACCCCCCCACCACATTCGGCTCGACAAAATTCCTTGAGGGAGGGGGGGTAGCGAAACTCCCGGCGAATCCGAAGAAAAATTTTGGGAAATTGATGGGAAAAATCTCGTTGGGATTTTTCCGTTTCCATATCGGCTACAAACCCCTTCCCCCTTCGCTCGGCACAACATTTTAGGGTCGAAAGTTAGGCAAATTCGCATTGGCGTTCGGAAGAATGAGAAGCGCGGTAGGACAGTTGGACAAGCTTAAGAAACTTTCCCGTTCTTATTCGCGCTATACACCCACCCCCTCCCCTTTCCCGCTCGACGAAAATAATTGGATGTGAAAATTGAAACTGAAAAATGTGGAGAGGCTGTGTACGTGCATGGGTTCAGAATGTAGGTTGGCGGGGAAGGGGGGTCTTCCCGAGATCCTCTTTCAGGTTGGCAGAAGGCGAGTGGCTACTGACATCTTCCTCAGAGGGGGAGGGCTCGTGTGACCCCCCTGGTACAGGGTCAGCAATTGTGTAGAACATTGGCGCGCTGCGCTTGTCTGCTGAATTTTTGGGAAACTTAGCTAGGTCACTAGAGATAACCCCATGGTTGATGACAGATATTAAGAAATACGCGCAGTTTGTGGGCAGGAGGGCATTCCGCATTTCTGCTCACTCTCGCTCTTCCAGTATGTCGAGCATCAGACCCATAAACAAGAGATCTGCATATATCTTCTCACCAAGTCAACCTTGCAGGGACCATTTGCTAACTCTCGTAATGGACACCTGCAAAATTTCCTCTCCCCCAAAATCGCATAGCTTTTGAATGCGATGCGATATGGAAAGACATTCAAGTCACTTCAGATCTCTTTGCGAAAACTGATCGCTAACATGAGAAGATGTCTTGTACAGGATCCGTTCCAGATTGACGATCTCTCCGTGGATACGGTAGGTTATCAGTACCGCTTGAACTCCTTTTTGTTACTGCTGTCGTCGCTGACCACTTGACTTTCAGCCCTCCTGTGCTCCTCGGCGAGTGACATCGCTAACGAATACCCGCCGAAAGGTTACCGTATCCGGATGGCACAGATTTCAGCTGCTAACTAAGGTATGGGCATAAAATAGCCACGTAATACGCGCTATTCGTCTGCGATCTCTGGCGCTGTTTGTCGACGGGGGGGGGGCATTTTGCACTATCATTGCTTCCTCAGTTCCGGTTTACATGTCTCACTCTGGCGAAACCTGTGAACTCTTGTGAAGCTGGAACAAGGTAGTCAAGCCATCATGTTAAAACCTGTCAACTCGAGAAGAGGCTGTCTAGATAGGCCGACACGTCGATGGGAAGTAGCAAAAGTGCAAAATGCCCCCTCCCGTCGACAAACTGCGTGGCGCCCTCTTACCGATATAAGGTATGGCAGATTAATTGGGACCTGGGACCAGTCAGGACTGAGACCGGTCAGGCTTCCTTCGAGACCATTTCAATCTTCACCATAAAGAATGTAAAAACACGATCTCAATGAGAGGTGGACGTGATTGCCTTTCGTATGGTGGGCGGAGATGTCAGTAACACCAAGTAACAAACCTCTAGCTTCCTTACCAACTTCTAGTAGCAAAAGGGTACACTTTTGCGGCTACCAATTTACCCACTTGTACAAAGGAGGGCTTCTAATAGCATAATCATTCAATGTACTTGGCCCACTGTTTATCAGGGCCCACTGGTTGCCCTTTATGCCTTTGGATAAAGTAGCCATTTTGATTATAACGTTAGTGATTTTTCAGGCAGTTTACAAAGATGTCCACCTCAGAATATCTTCCAACAAGGCGGAATCGATGTTCATTGCGCCATGGAGGTTTGTTAACGGACTTTTAGTTGTCCTAGTGTACTCATTTATGATGTTCTTTCCTGCATTTGAACTACCTCAACTTCCCGAAAGAGGCTGGAAGCAAATGTTGAGCAAAGGGAAGTGGAGCTGCACTCACTAAGTGCCTCGGGATTGAACATGGGATCGAGTCCGGTTAGCCCAATCAAACCACATATGCTCGTTCATTGAGAAGATTGGTCTTGGAGAACGGGAGACACGTTGCGCGTTCATTTGGTGTGCAGACGCTGCTGTTGGGCAACCGTCCAGTCTGCGCTCAGGGAGTATGTACCACTTCCGCGGCTTGAAAGAAAGTGACAAGGACGATACCTGCCCATGGTAGGGGCATTGCTCCGCCCACTTCCCCACAGTGCATCCAACGTTTACTTGTAAGAGAATCCGGGAGGGGAGAGACCGGGAGAAAAAGTTTCGCTACTGATTCTTTCCATTCCTAGTAGTGAAGTGATAAGGGGGGAAAGAACTATCCCTGTTATGATACCAAAAAAGGACACTCGTCCAAGCACGGCTTCTCTTCGCTCTATGTTCTTACAAGCACGTATGTGGGGTCTTATGCGGGCGTTCCCGAGAGTTTGCGCAGGTCGGCTTAGGGGGATGGGCATTTCGCAGTTTCGCTAATTTCTTATCAATTATACGATTCACCTTGGTGACACTTGTAGACTTTTGTCTGGGCGCAAACTCCTACTACTGCACATCTTTGAAGGAATTCACAGGTGTGCACAGGAGGTTTCAACAGTGATTGATGGAAACTAATAAAATGCCCCCACCAAGCCGAAGTGCGCCGTTTTCACTCCAATTCCCACCACTGCTTAGTCAGATTACTACCTAAATAACATCTGAAGTTCATTATCCACCACTTTTGATCGCGACACGTGCACTTGAATCTTTGCCTTGTGCCTTTGAACTGATTCCTACAAGCCACCGTATGAGAAAATTATGCGCTGAAGCGAACCTTAAAATCCAAGTAGGAGGCAAGTGGACGAAGAACTTGGAAAAGAATCGTTCAACATACAGCGATCTAGCTTTCCTGGTTCTCGAAGATATGGCGAAAAATGGCCAGGAGATCCGAGTCGGACCACAGAAACTGCGTAACCGCGCACGCGGCTGCGTGATGGTTCATCTACCCAACGAACTTTTGTGGCGATCGCCCTACTCCACTTGCGGCGCCGCTTTCGCGCGTAATTCGGATCTTCTGATCAGCAGCTTAATAACTACGAAACATCGGTCCGATTTTTTGAACCTGAATTAAAGGCAGAGGACATGATGGCCGTCGGGGGGAGGGGCGGTCAGTGCCAACGTCATTGGTGGAAAGGATGTGAGAGAATGTTTGACCAAACCCACTCAGCCTTTCCATCAATGACCTTGGCAGTCGCCCTCCCCCCTCTCAGCCATCGTACACTGCCTTCGAAATCGTGAACACTGTCAGTAACATCATCACTTCATTCCATTCCAGATGCCGTTCCATCATAATAGACAACGTAAGGTCCTGTCCTGCTATGGTGTTAGGACCTACCCATGGTGTGGTGATTCTACGAGAGGTAAGTTACCTCTAAATTCAAAAAAGCACCCATTTAATAGTTCAACAGCTTAGGTTCATAACACTAACGTCACTGTGGCATGCAAGCAGCTTCACCTATGGAAATGCTCCCATGTGACAGTTTTCCTCCATTCGTTTCGTCCTCCAATAGTACGGGGATGTACTGATGTCCATTTCGCTGCTTTCAACGTTTCTTACGAGGTAAGGTGCAGTCATCAGGGAGACGGTCAAGATAATCGCACTTTGACGCGACGTCGCGTAGGGCTTATCTTGCGACGATGGGCGGCCAATTACCCATGGGGAAGGGAAGGGCAATTCGCCCGTCGGTTGCGGTGTCGCTCGCCACGCCCACCAGCACACTGCGATTGTCTTGTCCGTACTCCATCCATTTCGACTTGAAAGGCCATATGATCTTGCTGTAGAGTTCTTGATCAGGGTAAATCATCGACCGATCGGGATCAGGATGGGCATTATAGAGGTGTCATTATGAGTCCTCAAAAACGCTTTCACTTTGACCCCCTTTCCCGCAAACAAGTACATCCCCCAATGGAATCCTCTAACGGTGCTGTACAATGTTCGAGAAGCTGAACATAGACCATGTCATCAGATAAACCGGGGAAGACCGGCTAAAAGTGGGAGGAAGAGGGGGGGGGGGTAAAGGACTTCAAGTGCAGAACTGAAGTAACTCGAGTGAGAACTTCACTTCTTTTAGCACGAAGAAAAAGTCCATTGAACGACACCCCTTAGCCGATTTGCGCCTATAAATTTAAATTTGATCGATTTATCAGATACTACTTCCAGGGCTTACCTGAAGAAATGGAAGCAGCCAATCTTCGAGCTACCCGATACAGTTCAAGCAGGCACGTCATTAATGTAAGTCATAATGGTTGCATAGCAAAGATTACGGTTGACAGGGTAAAGACTTGGCTTAAATCGTTCATTTCTGGACAAATCATGCACCTCACTTCCGTACGGAATATAAAGGTACCATGGAGCGTTCTGAGAGCGCACGCAACTCTGCGATAAATCACTTA